GCCAGCAACTTCCAAAAGTCACAGTAGAAGGTGGGTGATGTTTCTTCAGTCTGATCCTGTTCTGTGCCAATGCGAAAGAAGTTCTGGCCTGTGTAAAGAGGCCACTCTTTGCCACTTCCCCCATCAGGAGACCTTTGAGGGGAAGAAAACCAGGCCGAGGCACAGCAAGAAGACATGAGTGAGGGAAAGAAAGGAGATTGATGGATTTTTTTTTCCTAGCAGTGCAATTACAGGCACATCGAAAATCAACAAGAATAGCAATCTCCATAGGGCAGGGGAAGGAATTCAAACAAGATCATAACATTTGTTGAGGTAGTTCTAATAATTACAGTAAGAGCTCATTGTTACTTAAAAGAGCATTGTTTTGGTAGTTGCTGTGGACAGCTCACAAAGTTCAGATTCACCGAAGTATTTTAATTAATCTGTTTGCTGTCTGAAGTTCAATAAAACAAAGAGCGCTTTACACTGTATTTTGTGAAGTATGACTTCTACCGATTGGATTATTTGATGTTCTAACCAACAAGCAGGAATCTTTTGAGTTGTCAGTAGCCTCACCAATGCATGAACGATTACAACTAAGTTTAGAAAATTCTAAGTAGCTAGCAGCATATTTCAAAACTAAAACTGAAAGCATCCAATGGACTCCTCTTTGAAAGCAGTAAATCAAACTGAGATGTCCAATGCACCACCTAGTCAAGGTTTACCGGATTGGTTTTAATTGGTGATGCCGAACGATGTAGACAAGGCATTTTTGTGCTGGAGAGCAGAAGTCTCCAAATTACGGCCTGTGCCTTTTTATCTGTCTCAGTCCTGTATGCTGGGGGTCCACAACTGCCTAAAATGGATGGTTGTGGAAACAGAAGTAGTTTCAGTTCCAGCAGCCTAGCTTTTGCAAGGAGGAGTGGGGAAGTCTTTATTTTCGGTAAGCCTAACTGAGGTGATTCCCCCGCTGTCTTTTCAAAGACAGCAGGGGTAGGGGATCGCTTGGGTCCCCCTTCGCTCCTCTTCCTATGCTCAAGCGGGGATAGGGAGAGGAGTGAAGCCTGACATAAGCAATCCCCCACCCCATCTGTCATTCACTTATTATAAAACTGTCGTTTTTTTTCCCCTTTGGCCCTCGAAAATATATAAAATATATCATGTGGCTCTCCTACTGAAAAGTTTGGGGACCCCTCCTGTAGAGCAACCACCTCTCCTGTTGATTATTGTCTTTCTTGGCTATTAAAGTCCACCAAGGAGATTAAAAATAGAACAGGCCACTCATATTACCAATACATCTCTTCAGGAAGACTACATGTCTTCCTCTTTAAAAGAAACTGCAACAAGACCCATTCCTAAGAAAACTAACATGATGACAAATGAATGAAGCAACTATAGACCCATTACAAACATCCTGTTTCTGTGCAAGCGAATAGAGAGGGGGGTGGCTGATCAGCTGCAGATGTTTTTGGATGAGACTACATCCAGTTCAATCAAGATTCAGGCTACGTTACAGAATAGAGACGGCATTAAAACTGAAATCCTGTTGATCCAAGACAGAATGAACAGGTCTAGAAGGCTAAGGGTTGGGTGGGATTAAAAAAGATGAGAATCACTTACCCAGTTCTTACAAACTGCCCCCAATATTGCATAACCCTTTGGCTGAGAATCTCTTCCTCATCCGAGTTGGTGGCATTGCCATCCAGCGTAGACAGGATGGAAACAAACAAATAAGGCAGCTCGGCACAGTGGGGTACCCCAATCCAGTCGGGTGCAACTATGAAGGCAGGACGATGGGTGAAGATGTAGGCAAAAACGGGGCTTCCGGCTTCAGCCATCCGGTTGGCCACACTAGCCACTGGGCACAAGAAGGCGTAGTCCCCACT